ATTAATTTATGAACAGTTTATATTAATTAAATTGACATCTTAATTCATATTAATTATTCTACTGTTATCCATGAGTTTGTGATCCGTAATTGTCATGAATTATTGAAATAAGTAGCAAGAGGTTGGCTTATGTGTGTGTATTTATGGCTTTTTCATGTTTACATAACTGGCATAATAGACTCTAGGGAAACAAATGGACAAAATTAATTAACTTGCAGCTATCTCAAATTAATTGATTTTGGTTTAGTCATTTCTCATCATCCTTAATGCTATTCTTTGATTAATATGGAACGCTTTCGTGCCCAGTTGATTAATTAATAAGATTTAATTTTGATACTTGGTCTAAATTAATTAAATTAGGAGAATTAAAACTTACTCGGCTGTTCCGAGTAAGTAGACTAAGTTCTTGAATCAAGAAATCGATTTTTTTATATAAAGCCTATGATCAAGATTACAATTGGATGAAAATCACACTTTTGGATTGGAAGCTCGGTAAGATTGACTTTCCTTTTCCTTTTAGTTTATTTTTTAATTTCAAAATTTAAATACAAACCCCCCATTTTTTAAACTTTGAGAAATTAATTTCACTGGTTGTCTTGGGATTCGACCTGGTCTCACTACTTCTACAACTTAGATTTAGTAAAATCAGTAATTATTTTGGAGGGTCTCGACAACCTTTACCAATTAGTATCCTATATCCACGAAAAACAATATTATCTGAATTCTCTTACTTCTAAACCATTGAAATGAAAGATGATTCCTCTATTTATAAAGTTTTCCACGAGTTTTAGTGGATTTAGGCTTTAATGATTACCGGTTAGGTCCGACTCTCTTTAGTGAATTTAGACTTATTCAAATTTAATAATAAGTCCATTATTAATTCATGTGTTAATCTATGCTTATTTGATTATTGGCCCAATTTTCATATGACCAAATTTGATATAACATATGTGATAAAATGGGCATAAAAAAGACACGTTGCAATTCACGATTAATCGAAATTGGCCGAAATTTATCCCTTTATCATATTAAATAATATATAGTCACACATTTTTCAAGTTAAAATTGAGAGAAAAAATTAATCTACTAATGTATGTAGGAAATAAAATGAGAATTTAGATGAAAAACGATTATCTTGTTGTGTTGTGGATGAAGCCACTACCCTGAAAGCAATTACGGCACGACTATGGTGCTACATCGTGTATTTGCCGATCGCTCCCCTAGGTTAACACAACTTCAAATCCAGGCGTGCACTCGTTGAGGTCGAATGAAATCGATAAACATGCTCAGAAGGATTTTCTCAGTGTGTTTTGAAACAAAAACAAGTATTTATTTATATAGAAACAGTATGCTATTTTTGGTGGTTTTTAAAAAAAAAAGTAAAGTTAAAAATAGCATATTCTAATTTTATCAATATTAAAAATAGCTAGAAAACTAAGTTTTGTAAGGACATATTAGTCATTCCCAACAATCCACTGACTAACTAGTTCTTAAAAAATATATTTTCTGAGCAATGAAAGAAAATAAACTTAAGCATTAATATTTTACGATTTGAATTAATGCATTGTTGGGAATGACTAATATGTCCTTACAAGACTTAGTCTTCTAGCTATTTTTAATATTGATAAAATTAGAATATGTTATTTTTAATTTTACTATTTTTTAAAAACCACCAAAAATAGCATATTGTTTCTATATAAATAAATACTTGTTTTTGTTTCAAAAGACACAGAGAAAATCCTTCTGAGCATGTTTATTGATTCCATTCGACCTCGACGAGTGCACGCCTGGATTCGAAGTTGTGTTAACGGGGAGCGATCGACAAATATACGATGTAGCACCATGGTCGTGCCGTAATTACTTTCAGGGCAATGGCTTCGTCCACGGCACAACAAGATAATCGCTTTTCATCTAAATTCTCATTTTATTTCCTACCATGTAATGTTCATGCTTAGTGTTTCTCGTTTCTTCTTCTTTAATAACACAAAACAGTTATAATAACAATTTTTAATAAATAAAAATATAATTCTGGTTTCTTGTTTTTTTAATTGAAAAAAAAGAAACATGTTTGATAACCATTTCTAATTTCTATAATTTTAAATCAAAAAAGTTAAAAGGATAATTAAATATTTCAAAATATTTACTATTTATTTGTTTTTTTAACAATTTATTTCGAAACTAATGTTTTTATTAATGTCTTGGAAAAAAATTGGAAACGGAAACGGAAACAGAAACAAAAATTTTGATTTTATTGTTTTTAGAATTTCTATACAGTTTTATAAAAGTTTTTTATAAATGAGAAATGAAGACAATTACCAAACGCTTATATTTATAAAAAGATTAAAAATGGAAAAGAAGAAACTAAGTAATAAAAAACAAAAACATTACAAATAGTCGCCAAATTACTGATTATTTTACAAATATTAAGGCATGAAACAATGTAATTCATGGGAACCCAATGATGTTGAAACAAAATGTGAATGGATAAGTTCTTACACTCGGAATTATTTGCTTGCTCAAGTCGATTGCTCCCCTTAGTTTACTCCAACAATCCAATTCAATCCAATTCAACCAGAACCACCAGACTTGGTCGCTTCCATCTGGAAATCACCTAAAGCTAAAATGTCGATGCTGCTTGTCGACAAACCTCGATGGGGCCAGGTTTCATTCTTCGTGGTTCATTTGGGTGTTTGACAACAGTAAAATCGGTATTTGTCCCTCATCTTTATCGTCTCTCTTTACTGAAATGAGAGGAATATTGGAAGGCTTGAAAATTTACTAGTTCATTGAATTGCTCTCATCTACTGGTTGAATCGAACTCCCTTCTGACAATCCAGCTAATTAGAAGAGAAATCGATACTCTCGAAGATGAGCTAAATTGGTTGATGGAAGTGAGGAGTCATGCCCTAACTTTCAACTCCATATCTTTCAACCATGTTCCTCGCACCAGAATGTTTGGCTTCCTTCCTTTACAATGTGGCTTTTGGATTATGTAAGAGGGATCTCCCTCTCATTATTGTCCATGTGACTCAATTTTAATTTTCCATTTAAAAAAAAAAAGTTTTCATCCTCAAAATTAAATCAAGAAAATAATTGAAGGGATTAGTACATAGATGTTCTATTTGGGAGACCTAATTACATAAAAGGATTGAAAGTTCTAGAATTTACACTTTTGTCTAACATAATTCCCAAAATAGATAGTACCCATAATAGAAATTACTAATATATCCATCTCAATATTAAATCATTAATAAAATATGAAATTGGTAAATATTTATTAAGATATATGAAGTCCCTAAAATCAAGCAAATTCAAATGTCAAAAATTGAGATTTTTAGAAACCCACGATTTCGTAACCTCTTCATCTTTGTTGGTTTCTCCTTCTTCACCGCTGCGACAAAAAGGTTTCTCCATCTTCAAGCTTCTGGTCGCGTTTCTGAAGAGATTTCTCTGGCGGGTGCTTCTCCGTTCTTTATAGAAAATATCTCCAGCGGCCTCCGTCGCATTTCAGAGGGCAACATCGTCACGCTTCCTTGGTCTCCGGCGGCTACGTCGACCCATTACACTGTAAGTTCTAATTTCATCTTCTTCCTCCGTTGCATGAGCAATCTAGTCCGTCATGTTCACTTATACCGTATTTTATGCTATATTTAGGTTTCAATTTTGCACAGAATCGAGATATATAGTTCTTATTGTATATTCTAAATTAGGTTTCATTTTTTGACTGAATCTGTTGCTCTCTGGTTCCTGTTATCCCATGCTATATGCTATTATCCTTTATAACAGTGTATATTTGAGTTTATATATATAGTGATACTGATTAGGATATATAATATATATCTACATAAAAGTATCTCCATATATATCGGTGAAACAATTTCCATGGAAAATCTACTAGGATATATAATATATCTCTAGTTTATAGAGGACTTTCGGTATTACATTGGTATATACAAGTATATTTTTCTTTATTCGTTTGTTATGAGTAACGTATGTACGGTGATATATAGTGTTTAGATAATGATATATATTATATCTCAAGATTTATGTATCTCGATATATACGGATGATGATTTAAAGTTAAAAATATATTGGATATATACCGTTAATGATTTACATCAATACATATGGATAAATTTTATATCGCTTAAGGTTTAGTCTATGTTATATCGGATATATTATATACTCAATATGTTATACTTTATACCATGTCTTTTAGAACTTCATATTGGCTTTCAGCTTGGATTGTTTGCCCTGTAATGAGCCTTTACTATTTTACATGTTTTAGGGAAAGTGTTCATAGCACCGTAGCAGACGACAAGGATGTTGTGTTGGGCAGTGAACGAAGAAGAAAATCGGAAACAATGGAGGAGAGATGAAAAATGAAAGAAAAAACGGAAGAAAAAATGAAGAAGAAGGAAATCGGAAACAATAGAGAAGAGATGAAAAAAATCTTTTTTGAGGGATTTGGAGGAGAGAATCAAGGAATTTGAATTGAGATAATATCTATGGGCCCACATTTATTAAATGGTTGTGATATTAATTTATGGAAATAACAATTTTATATTTCAAAAAATCCAAATCCATTAATAAATGAAAATGCAATGAATAGGGGTAAATTCAGAATTAAATTAAAATCCTACCTACACAAATCTAAAAATTTAAATTTATAGAAATTTAGATATTTATATAAATAAGTTTCTAAAATAGTCATCGAAAATATTATCTCATAATGCAATTAATTGGAGAATCCCGGGCCCGTTTGTAGTTCCAAGTCCTAGTCCATATTGGAAAAGAACACATACGGGCTTTGGAGCCCTAATTGACTTTTTTTTTTCTTTATTCCCTTTTTCTAAAAGAAAAAATATTACTTTTCTTACAATTTATTTGAATTGCTTTGCTTTGACGCTGTCTATAAACTTCTATTCCTCCATTTTTCTTCCGCTCTGTGCTTTTTGAGGATCTTCGCCTCCGTGTTTCAAAGGTTACCTTTGAATTTTTCTCTGCTTTTTGCTCTTCGTACCCACTTCTTCTTCCCTTCGTATTGAGAATTTTCGCCTTCTCTAAGAGTTTTTCATTTTTAAGGAGTAATATTGATTCTCACTTACATGTTCTTACTCATGAAATTCGGTTTGTATCGAATATCGTGATTCTATTTTCTTCTGGTACAGTTGGGGTGTTTTTGAATTGTGGAAAGGTTTCTACTTTCTACTTCTTTTTTCCTTATCGGATGTCTTGCTTTGAGCACAACTGAAGAGTGGAATTCAGTTTATATGATCTAATTCGATGTTTTCCTGTTCGCGGTTTTCAGGATTTTGTTCCCTTGTTCTCAAGACTGCGTTCCCCTGAGAAATTGTGACATGGGTGGGCTACCAGTTGGAAACGGTTCATCTGCCCTAGCTTTGCCGGAGTCCAAACTTGACCAAGGGTCAGCAGTGGTCAAGTCTACCACAGATGGGAAACCAAAAAAGAGGATTTGTTGTGCCTGTCCTGAGACTAAGAAGCTAAGAGATGAGTGCATTGTGGAGCATGGGGAAGAAGCCTGTGGAAAATGGATTGAGGCTCATCGTAAGTGTCTTCGTGCGGAGGGATTCAATGTCTGAACTTGATAAAGCTAATAGAGTGATTTCATTTTCTGCTAGTGTACAATTTAATTACTTGAGGGATAGAGATGACAGAGAAAATTGAGAAATAAAGTGAGGGAGCAGGTATAGCCAAAGCTGCAGTGCAATACATACAATTTTGCTGTGTATTTTTGTAGGCTCATGGCCTTTGAGTATTAACTTCCTTCTGTTCTTATTGTTTCTTCTTCGTTTTCACACCCATTTAATTTTCTTATTCTGCATCAATATCTTGTGTTATAAATTTGTGGTTCTCACCTTATGTTGAATTGGTGGATTGAAGATTTGAAACTCAGACCTTGTAGCAATAAATTTAGAGTAATAAAGCCAATGAATCAACCAAATCCTCGAATCACGTCCTATGCATATACCATTACTGATATTATAAATCAAATAACCTCAATGGTTGGTCCAAGTCTGATAGAAAAATGGGAAAGCTGTAAATGTACGTGTCTGTTGAGGTCGTGAAGTACAAAACAAGATGGTCACTTATTAGAGTTTCCACGTTCCATGATAGAGGATACTTAGGTCATTAAATATGCTAAGAGTTCCTTAACTCCAGGTACTTTATGCTTTGATTTCGTGGCATTACTTTGGTTCATACGGCCACCTGTTTGTAATGAAAAGAAATCGATGATACCGCTCAGGCATATCTGTCTCTGTGTCATCTGCTAACAGCTTCCTTTTTCATATATTTACTTTTTGTTTTTGTTTTTGTTTTTTTTTTTTTTTTTGTGATAAAGATCCAAATGGCACGTTTTTTAACATTAAGAATGAAGTGTTGTTGAGCTAACAATCCATGAAGGCTCAAGTAGTTTCCTGCTTTTTTCTCAAGTTCTGAGAAAAAAGAAGAAAGATAAAGATGATGTCTGTGATGTACAATGCATTCTGGGTTTGTGATTTGAAGCAATTGTGTACCAAGTACTCTAAATAGACCAATTGGAATTTGAGTATATGAATGTTAATGCCGGAGAATCCCATGTTAAAAAACCACTCTATTTGATCTTGCATATTTGATCCAAGTTGTGCAAACTATCGGAAGCATGATATCATTCTGAAAAAATTGTTCAATTTTATTTGTATAGTGCTGTAGATTTTATTGTATTACATGACTCTTAAAGCTTTGAAGTCTTTCGAGATTGTTTCCACTGTATAAATTTGAAATCAATTTGGATCAAGGATGAAATGAAGCACGATGAAAATGGAAGGAGAGGGAGTATACTAGTAACTAGTATAACTTTCGATTTAAACCATGGCCACAAAAATGACCAGCATTACATGACTATGGATGGTGAACATAAGTAGACATTATTCATAACACACCTCTAGCTAAGCACAGAGGTGTTGAACATAAAAGGACACTTTTCAAACACAGCTACATTATTGCTCACTTTCATATAACTGTGTTGATGGACAGAAGAGATGGATGTGTTCAATTGCCGCAGTGGCAGTCCGTGCACTTGCAGGGGTTGCAGGTGCACTTGTCATTGTGCTCGGCTGCTGGGATGTCCATCTCTATGGCGTCAAAGTGGCTGCAGAATCAAAAGATTAATTGTCAGGTACTGTAAAACACTTTTTGCCAATTTTTGCCTTTGCACTACTCTTTTTTCCCAAATCTACACATTCTTTTGTTTTTGTGATTTATTTACTATTTTTCTTCTTGACCCGTATTTCTCAATGCATTCACATCTTTTGAGTTTGATGGTGTCATGAATATGGGGCACAAAGTGAGTTGTTTTAAAGTTCTTATAGGTAAGGTAGGCCGCCACCAGAGAGGGGGCCAACTCGGCCTAGAGGTATCTATTAGGTGACAAAGCAAAATGAAATGCAATTGACTGAGCCAGCCTCTCTTTCGTTCATGGGTGCCTGAAGAAGGTATATTGCATATGAGTTGAAATAATTACCTCTTCTCATTCTCCATGATGACAGCGCCATAGCTGTTCCCTTTTTTCCTGTCATTATAGAGCATGTCAGTGCTTCAATAGGAATTTAAATATACAGACATTTCATTCCTCTGATTTGGTCATGTTGTACAGGAAGAAAAAGAAAGAGTGAGAATGCCTTGAAACATGCTGTTTTTTACTTAAGTTTTACAGGTATTGGTTGATGTTAAGGGAAAACATTGATCATAGACTTTTATGTGTCTTCTTCTGCAGCAACACGATTGAAATGAATTTTTTCACCAGATCATTTTTCATAGGAATTAAAAAAAAACACCCAATCCAACAATCAATTCAAACTATATTTTGGGTTAAAATTTCCACCCCTAGTAAAATTCTCTGCCTCTTCTGACTTTCTTTCTGTATAGCAGTAAACAAACTGTCATAATTGGAAATTTCCAATATTGTTGCTGAAAGGGCATCCGAGGAGAACACTGACAAACTTGAATACTAAGACAATTGTGGACATTGTTAGGTCTTGATGAGAAAAGAAATCTTCCAGATAACCATAAAGATTCATAGTCTTGAAACAGGCAAGCTCCTAATGAATTTGCTGCAAATTTAGATGGGGGGGAAAAAAACTTACACGCAGTTGCTGCTGTCGGAGCAGTCGCAGTTGCCGCACTTGTCTGACATGATGAAGAGTCTAAAGAAGTTGCAGAAGAAGGGAAAACAGGTAGCTTGAACTGTAATGCAGTTTTTTTGCTTATGATCTCCAAGTCTTGAAGTATGCTTGCCTATTTATAGTGTAGGGCAATGGCGGTGGCATCGTCCATGAATGGCCAAGATGATAAGCATGGGAGAAGCACAGGCTTCCTCCGAACCGTCCAAAAGAATCCGAATCATGCAGGTCTGGCTTCCTAACCTTATCTAATGTCAACTTCATTTTTCTGTTGATAAAGGAGACTATACCCCTGCAAATTGAGAAAACTGTAGTGGCTTTGAAAAAAGATGTTCTGAGATCACCTTCCGATGCTTTTGAAGTTTCATAATATGTTTCTAATAAAAATGATTGTTGAAGTTCCTCTCTGCTTAATAGAATATCAAGATCAGTACAATTTTTGGGAACTTTAGTTTGTTCTTGTGACATGGTCTGATTTCAAAATTCAAAATTCAAACTTTTGCTTTTGAGAGCTCATAAGTTTTCCGAATTGTCTATTTTGGAATTGCAGAATTTTATTAAAAGCTTTTCTTTTTGTGAAAGTTTCGGGCAACCATTCAAACTTGTATAGACTAAGTGGCCGCGGTTGTTTTATTTTCTTTCTTTTCTTTTCACATAAAAGGGGTAGGAAGAATGCTATTCTAAAAGAATTGTTGATAAGACTTTATAAGAATACTTTCTTATAAAAAGTAAAAATAACTATCAAACCTAGCAAAGACATTATCTCTTCTTCTTCTTTTCATTTCTTTCCAACCTCTTTTTCCTGCTTTCGACAAGAAGTTGGATTCTATATTGCATGGAATAGAATAGAAAAAAAGTGGCAGAAATGGCATGGTTGCTGTTGGAATCAAGTTCCTCTCTATTCTTAGTCTTTGTTGGATTTCAAATTATATTTAATGTGGTTGATTTTGGGTTTGAATTTCTTCACTTTCTCTCCTACTTTCTCCAAAGAGTGTGAAAAAAACTCTAGATTCTTCTCCACTTATTGGTGTAAATGTGTGATAACGTGTCAAAATGATGACCGTTTTAAGGCAAATGAAGTGATCAAAACATATTTGTCTTTTGATCTTGCTTCTTTCAATGCATTTTGCTATTATTTTATTTTTTGACTTCCTTTTTATCGAGGAGAATACTTTGCTTCTCAAGTAATAAGGAGAAACCTTGTCTTTTTCACTATTAAATATTTGACAACTAAGAGGGAGAAATGCAAATGGAGATACGTATTTTTAAATAATAAGAAGTTGTCAAACATTTAATGATGAGGGGGTTAAGGTTCCTCCTCATTGTTGAGGAGCAAAATATCTTCCTTTATCGATGGTATTTAACGAATCTAATCAAGATGAAGGTGGATCAACTTTTGGATGTCAAAAAGAAAAAAAAGATGCCTTCATATCTGATACAAGGAATTTTCCTCCACCTTTTTTAACACTCACATCATCTATATTCTTGTATTTTTCTTTTCCTTAAGTACAACACTTGGGGTGGGAGATCGAATTTACAACCTCTTGATTGGATATATATGTCAATTACCTCCGAGCTATGCTTGTTTTGGCACCTATGTTGTTTTGGCACCTATGTTCTTGCACTTGAAACTGATTACTTGTTTAACATTGTTTGTTATTCCTCAAGGTAAAAAAAAAAAAAAAAAACTTCTCGTACTTATTTTCTTAAATATTGTGGCAAAGTTCATTATTTACCTTTGCTTACTTGATGGAAAGAGTCAATTGTAGTGTTGAAGTTTTAGTTAATATTCTTAACCACATTGTTTGGAAAATGGAGTTAATTTGAGTATAGTTCAATGAATTAGGTATTTATTACTATGGCTAAGGTTGATGATTCAAAGCTCAATGGTTGAATGTAAAAAAAAGTTCAACACACTGACTACTAAATTTCAACTATTTAGTGTAGTTCTTCACCTTGACTTGGTTAACCATATTTTATATTATGAAAGTAATATTGCAAAGAGATTGAACCAATTATTTTTCCAGGAAAAAAAAATCTAAAGGAATTATTAGAGTTGAGAAAATTGAAAGGACATGCATACATTTTCCCAAATTTTTTTCTCCTACGCTAAAAAAATTTAGTGGTGGTAAGCAGGAGAAAAGTATCATTATTCTCATTATATTATAAAAATATCACTTTTATTGATGCATAATTTTGACATAAGTTAACCTTGTTACATCAGATTTGAGGCGGTGATGACTGAGCCAAAGTAGTTATTTGCACAGAGGTGAAATGTTGTGCAGGGTAGAATGTGATATTTAAACTAGTATTTAGATTGAGGCCATGTGAAAGTGAACTAACGTTATCTTGCATGTCTGAGTATGTTGTGAATTCCGCTATTTATAAGGGATTCGGAAGACAACCCTACCGTTGAGTCATTCTGTATTTGGGTTCATGTCACTAGTCATGCATCAGGAAACATGTTGACAGATACTCGAACATTGTACGTTGTATTTGTAGATGTGGCAATTGAATACTTGTATGTCGTACACCTTGGAGACTCCAATGTGCCCCTACCTCATTCCGACCAAGGTGGAGACTATATCCTTAATTATGCGGCCAAGGTGAGCTCCACCTCTT